TGGACCTTGTAGTGGGGTGGATAGAGGTTGATGGGGCTCTTACCTACACTGGTTGGTTGCATGGTGTAAACAACCCTTATGGATTTCCTCAGCTGGGAGGAGAATATATGAATATTTTTATTCACCCTGGAGGCTGAAGATCTTTGTCTCAATGGCCAGCCTGGTACTAGTGCCCCTTACACTCTGTCAGGGAGGCAATTGCCCAGATGTTCCTGGGTGCACAGCAACCCTGGTCAACAACAGCAGCTGCTAACTGGGCACTGGGCTCAGCTGAGGCCTCTGGGCTGGAATGAGAGTCATAGTTCCCACAACCCAAGGATGGGCTGGCTACAGGGTGAGAGTATTAGCTTCAAGGAGGAGCTGAAATGGACATGTTGAGAATAGCATGGTATGGCTGTAGCAATTACTCACCATCTCTAGCAAGAGAAACTTTGGGAATTAATATTACTCTTAGTCACACATGCAAACCACACGATTACTTCTATCCTGAGTGGAAATTTTCAAATTTATTGTAACACTGTTATCAAGAATACATATTTATTGTAGTATCACTATCAAGAATACATATAAATACATGGCTAAAGCCAAGAGCAAGACATAAGGAATTTTCCAGGGTTAGTCAAAAGCTAGTCTTCCTGGAGGCCCAGAAGGCTAGATGGTAATGGGATGAAGGATGAAATTGTGTTCATAGGCAGTCACCAATTATGACTCCTAGCAACAAGGACAGAAGCGGGGCATATCTGGTGAACTGAGTACAAACGGAGAACTCATCAGCATCACGCAGAACTGAAGCACTGTTTCTACTAATAAGTAGTTTTAAGATTTGCAGACTAGAGAAATATGTGTGGCTGGTATGGACAGGGTGGACAAACATGAGACAACAGCTCTCTAAAAATGTACCTTAAAGCAATAAGAAAGGCCGCCTTGCCCAGCAAGCTCAGATTGGGGAGCCCCTGCCTTCCCACCCCTCTCCTCATCATGGCCACCATTCCAGGCTCCCTGACTCTCTGTTCCTTTCCCTCCTCTCTGTTTCAGCTCAGGGGTCAGGGAGCTCTCCTAGAATGGAGATGTCTGCTCCCTGGCCCATTTCCTCACTGTTTTCTTCAAGCTCAGATGCTGGCAGGAAAATGCTGCCTATGCCGGAAGGGCTGTTCCTTAGTAGGCGGCCCAGTTCCTTCTCATAACATTCGGCTGCCTGCAGCAGATCTCCATTCAGCTTGTGAATTAATCCTTGGCGATACCAATAATTTGGCGCATTTTGTGGAAGCTGATTTTCAGCTATATTCTGCAGTTGGTTTTTCATCTTTTCCTTCTCAGTTGATTTTGTGCTTATGGACAAACCCTCTAAATGATGTTGGACAGCAGTGTCTTCAGACTTCCCATGATGCTCCTGAAAGTTGCAATGGTGCTGACGGTGTTGTTGCCTCTCAGTGTCAGGGAGCTCCTTATTGAATGGTATCTGATAACGTTCTTCTGCTTCCAGGAGCTCAGTGAGATCAGAGTATGCATACAGAGAATTTGGTCTCTTCTCAATAGTTTTAATAAAATAGTCTATAGCTTGTTTCTTTAGTTCTTTAATCTTTTCTCTATTTTCACTAGCTTCAGATTCTCCTGTATTCTGAATTTGTTTGATTTTTGCCCGATAGCAGCACCCAATCTGGTGATAGAGGTAGCCGTTGTTTGGTAGGAATTCCGACGCCTTTCGAAACAGTTCAATAGCTTTGTCTAGATCACCTTTTTTTTGATAAAATTTCGCTGCCTCGCGAAGGACATCTGTTTGGCAAGGAGCTTTCTCTAGGGCCTCTTCAACCAACAGCTCCGCTTCAGCTTCTTTGTTCACCTTCTGCAATTTCAGGGCAAAGAGAACTTTGATGTACTGATTGTCAGGACACAGCTCCATGGCCTGCTTCAGAACATCGGCAGAGAACTGCTTCTGTGGTTTTTCGTCCAGACAGTAGGTCGCGATGGCCAGTCCAGAGGTGAATTCTGGGTTGTCGGGTTTCTCTTCCAAAGCCTTCTCAAAATACACCTTTGCCCTTTCATTTTGCTTTCCTCCACACTTTAGCAGTGTCCACCCTTCTTCACAGTCAAGCTCAGGACACTCAATACTGTAAGGATTTGAAAACTTCTCGCACACTTGTTTCACCTTGTCTACATAAATCTGGGCTTCTGAGAGTCTGCCCATGTGATAGTAGACCCAGGCATAGTTTCCCCAAGTGACCAGACTTCGGATTTCTGCTTGGTCAGTGTGCTCTCGCTGGATTAACTCCTCAGCTTGCCGTAAGCATTCCAGGGCTGCCTCGTTTTGGCCTTTCTGGTGTTTTATGTAGGCCAACAAGTTGTACATTGTAGCTTTGAACTCAGTGTTTAAAAATTCAATCTGTTTACACACTCTGTCTTCTAGATCCTGTGAGACACTTTCTTCCTTAAATAGGTTCCACGTGAAATGGCATTTTAGCTGTGGAAGGATTTTCTCCAGAGAATTTCTGTTAACTTCACTGTGGAGAAAAGAAACATGGTCACTGTGATGTGCACCTGCCCAGCACTGCACCCTGTGATGCAATTACAGGTTAATCTTGTGTGTCAACTTGACTGGGCCACGGTATGCCCAGATATCTGGTTAAACATTAGTTCTGGGCATATCTGTGAGGGTGTTCCCAGAAGAGATTAGCATTTGAATCAGCAGACTGAGTAAAGCAGATTGCCCTCCCCAGTGTGGTTGGGTGTCATCCAACCTGTTGAGGCCTGAGTAGAACAAAGAGGCAGAGGGCGGGTGAATTCACTCTCTGTGACTTGCTCCTGAGCTGGGAAATTCATCTTCTCCTTCCCTCAACTGGGACTTGCACCATAGGCTTTCCTGGTTCTCAGGCCTTCAGACTCAGATTGGAACTTACACCATTAGCCCTCCAGTTCTCAGGCCTTTGGACTCAGAATGGAACGACACCATTGGCTTTCGCGGGTCTGCAGCTTGCAGACAGTGGATCATGGGATGTCTCAGCTTCTGTAATCATGTGAGCCAAATCCTCATAATAAATTTCTGTCTCTCTCATTCTAAATATATATATATAAATATTTTATTTAAATATATATAAAGTATATATTTTTATATTTATATTTCCCTACATAAAAAATATGTAAAAATATTTTATTTAAATATATATAAAGTATATATTTTTATATTTATATTTCCCTACATAAAAAATATGTAAAAATATTTTATTTAAATATATATATATATATATTTTACTAGCTTTAGGTGAGAATCTTTATTTTAGCAAATAAGGGCAGTATAAAAAAATTTGACCTGAAAAGTAAAAGAAGAAAAAAGGATAAAAATAAATATCTTTACAAATTATTGTAGAAATAATACAAAAGCGAGTTAAAATTCTCAATGAGGAAAACCAAAATGTGTCCAATTGTATAAAGGCTCTTCCTTTGTAAGAAATGGGGATAAAGCTAAAGATCCACTTTGGTTTCACTGCTGAAAAATGTACAAAACAGAAAAACCAGGTGAGGTCAAACGTTGTGAGCCCACCACTTGTGCCTGCCTACTTTTGATCTGAAGAAAGTTGATGACCACAGTGCAAGGCAGAGCTGATGGTAAGACAGCCAAGAGTTCTCCACCCAGGAGTCCATCCTCCATTAACCTTCACGTAAAAGGTGAAGAAAAACAAGTGAAGTCTAAGCTCTGCAGCTGGCTGACTAAATTTCCTCCATTGTAGTGCTCAAAATAGTTTACTTCTTGGCTAGCAGGAACACAGAAGAGCCTGGAAGAACTGCCTTTAGCAAATGCCTGCTGCCTCTTCCCAACCTTCGTGGGTTGGGCCCGACATCAACCAGCAGCATATAAATATATCTCTCTCCTATTGGTTCTGTTTCACTGAGAACCTTGACTAGTACACACCCATAAGTCGTCCTAGAAAGAAGAGGAGGTACTTTTCTCTCGCTTCCTAGATTCGCCTTTCTACAGCTAGGGTCTGTGCAAGAAACCGCAAAGCACATCACTGTGTGAGCAAATATGTAAGAGGTAAGGTAAGGCGATGAGAGGAGAGCACTGCTGTGATAAGAACTGGGAGCTCTTGTC